AGTAACCTTACTTTCTTTCTCTAGCAAATTCACCTCATTTTATTTCGCTATTGAATTGTTGTGAGATCTTAAAGTTTGAGGGCAGTGTTTATAAAGTGACTAATAGAATATTTCTCATGTGATAAGTCCTGATGGTTCTGACATCGGGTAGGGGTCATGCCTTATTTCTACATTTCTCTAGACTCCTTTCTCATCCTTGTAATAGGCCCAGAAAAAATTCATATTGTTCAAAGAGACTAAGAAATATTTTAAGTTACAGCCTGGTTTCTAATCAAGTTAATTTTTTTTGGCATGATTAGAAGTGAATTTCTTTAGTTCCAAATTAGTTTCCAGCCTTTCTTTATTTATTCCATTATGATTTATGTGGCCATGCATGTTTTCTCTAACCTTCCATTATTTCTCTGGATTTATGTTTTGGCTAGTGAATCAGTCCTACTCACCATAATATAAAGAACTCTTACAGATTTTCAAGGAAGTCACTTATAGAAAGTAATAAAAGTATTAATTTCCTTTTTAGATTATTTAAATGGATCATAAAACAGCCTCATTTACTGAGCTTACATTTCCTTGTGTCCCAAATAACCAACAGAGGGTGCATGGTCTAGGGCACTAAAGCATTTATACACACTGGTGGTCTGAAAGGTTTAATGTCTCTTCCTGGAGTGATTAATTTAAAGCAGGGCAATACTGGCTCAACATTATTATTTCATCTTAAGTACATCTGGAAATCCAGAGTGAGCCATTGTTTAACTCTGTTGGAGAAAAAGAAATGCATGCTCATGATTCTTACCTATTACTAAAGCAATTCTTCAATTGTTCCTCGTATCTAGGAGGCAAAGCTCATATCACCTTGAACAGGAGACAGGAAGTGGCAGAGTCATGTCTGTCTATTGATGAGGCAAGGACTTAGGGAGCAGAGTAATTGGAGTTCAGTGAGGCATGAGGCTTCTATAATTTTATAAATTGAGCAAAAACTGAGAATTTATTCATAAAGAAAAAAGAAATAACTAAAAATTGTGGCTAATATTATAAACATCACAAAATCAACAAAAGTAGCATAATATTTTAAATTAATTAACTCCCTGACATACAACTATGCATTCTTCTTATATTTTTGACTGCATACTCTTTGATGGGACTTTATTACTAACTAATAAGATTCTGTAATATCTTATACATAGAAAATACAAAGATATCTTAGTCTTTCCTTTAGCATAGTTGATTGAAATTTACTTTTTATTACTCATGGTTTTGATCACCATAAGTGTAGCTTACTATGGAGACATATTTGCTATTTATTGTGCTGCTCCCAGATTGTACTCTATCAGCATAGGAATTGTGATAATTCTAGTACTCTATTTCCCACAATTCCCATTAACTGGGAAAACAGTTATCATGTATTTATATCTGTACATGCTACATTTTATTTCTCTCAGGAGAGATCACCAATCTTGACTAGACATCTCTAGAAAACAAATCACTGATGAGAAACTAAAAGTTTGTGCCATTGATGACTGGTAAAATTGTCTTCATACTGGTCCCTGGCTTTATATATTCCATGCTTCTTTTGCCCTCCATATCCCATGTACTCCCAGCACCAATGCCATGGACCTGTTCACATTGCAATGTAACCTCCAGCCCTGCACCTTCATAATGAACTGGGAAGAAAGCACAAGTAGCAGTAGGAGCCACCCTGGATTCGACTTCTAATCCACCATGGCTAGCAATAACTTCAAACACACAGAATTGGCTGTAGACTCCAGCCAACTGGCCACCCCTCTCCCTGCACAGGAGAGGAAGTATGTGGGAAAGAAAGTCAGAATGGAAAGAGACAGTGGTCTCAACTGATTGTGGTTAAAATATCCTACTCTTGCAAATTTTACTGTGACTGTGGCCTCCTAGGGCCTTGGATGAAGGCCAGGTAACTCAACAGCCACCTAGAAGCTTAAGCATGCATAACTTCACTGTGAATCTTCCTCCAGGGTAGAACATAAGAAAGGGTTTTACTCCCTCACCCTATCATTACAAGAGCACTAGAGAAGAGCTCCTGATTAAAACTAGTTCTTCACTGTGATCTAGTTGCTAATAGTTAATGAAATTAGATGTTGTCTATAACTTTGTTATAGATCTAGTTAATTAGTTAATGAAATTAGATGTTGTCTATAACTTTGTTCCAGTGTTTATTCAGAAAATTCAATAGGTGGCACTTCCCATGTGATTTTTAGAAAGTGTTGAACGTCTGAGTGAAAATGATAGGAAAGGATAAAATCAATTTATTTTCTGTCTATCCAATGATAGGATTCCTTTCCACAGATATTGTAAAATACGTTCTCACAGTTTTGATTTTTTAAATTTTCTATAGATTTTATATTTTTTCTTTTCACTCTTCTGTATTTTCATCTCAAGTGATAGGCTTTCTTAGCAATGGTTTAGGTTCAGAAACACATGCTGAGAAAATGAGTTCTTAATTGTACGTATTGATAGAGCAAAACCGGGGATAGAAAACCTGGAGTTCTTGATTGTATGTATTGCTAGAGCAAAACCTGGCTAGGTTATGGTGCTGTGTTTTGGAGCATGCTGTACTTTGAGGAGTGTTTCACTGTAGAGATTAAGGTAGGTAAGCAATACAGGGGAAAAAGTACCCCTGACACAAACACACACATGCATGCACGCATGCACACACAACTGGGTCTGAGTCCCTTTCTTCCATAAGTACCCTTTCAATGACATTCTGTATTTTTTTCCCTATTTAAGCCTGTCTGTGATGTATATTTTAACTTAATCCATTTAGATGGAAAGACCTACCCTGAGCTTAGGTGTAGTATTTTGTTGGCTACTATTGCATGGTTGAACATATGGCAAGCACAAGGTTCATTCACTCACTTGGAAACAGTGGCAACTCTTCTTGACATAACTGTGTCCTATAGAATCCACTGGTATTTTGCTGCTATTTTAGAAATTTGGCTCTACTTAGACCAGAAAGGAAATAAGCCACTGCAAACTTTCTTTTCTTTTCTTTCTTCCTTTTTTAAAAATTTTCAGTGAGAGCTTCCAATTAAAAGGAATAAGGAAGAACAAGACATATTTTCTATAAGAACAGAAAATGCTACATGGTGCTTACCCTACCTGTCTGATTTCTCTGTTAGGAATATAAGCTTCTTATCAGGTATCTTTTTTGTTGCTCTCATGCCCCTTAAGAGAATTTTGACAGACTATGTTGTTTTTCATATGCAAGTGATCAAAAACACATAAAAATTATAATTTTTAAATATCAACAACAAAGTTGTATTGGAGATACTTTTCTTAGTGTGACAGGTGGTTGGGGTTTATGGCGCTTTGATTAAATGAGGTGACACAAACATTTCAAATCGTTCCTTTGTTTCACATCCCAGAGATTATTACATCACAAGACAATGCATAGCTCCCACAGGGATAACAAAGCGAATGGGAAGGAGAGCGCTATGAAGAATTCATGGAAGGCACCTAGGCAGATGACTTTCAGGAAAGAGGGGATGTGGAAAGTAAGGACTTGAAATTGATTTCCTTAGTATAGTTTGTGTTTGCATGTTTTTTGAAAGGTTTTATGTACTCCTAGAGTAAGCATACCTGTTTGAAGAAGCTGCTCAATATAGGTCTTTTTTTTTTTTTTTTTTTTTTGAGACGGAGTTTCGCTCTTGTTACCCAGGCTGGAGTATAATGGCGCGATCTCGGCTCACCGCAACCTCCACCTCCTGGGTTCAGGCAATTCTCCTGCCTCAGCCTTCTGAGTAGCTGGGATTACAAGCATGCATCACCGTGCCCAGCTAATTTTTTGTATTTTTAGTAGAGATGGGGTTTCACCATGTTGACCAGGATGGTCTCGATCTGTTGACCTTGTGATCCACCCACGTCGGCCTCCCAAAGTGCTGGGATTACAGGCTTGAGCCACGGTGCCTGGCCTCAATATAGTTCTTAAAATAGTCTACCAACATTTTACCCAAGCATAGTGAGAAATAACAATACAGCAAGAAATGGGAGTGGGAATGATTAGAAAGACCTCTTTGAGGCCTTGGTAGTGGGTAGGAGCACAGTGGGAGGGGCTCTTCTTAGATTTGCTTTAATCATCAGGAATTCTGATACAATTACATTTTTACTATGATATAAACTTCATTTGATTACCGTTGCCAAATATTCTTTACTCTTCACAAAGTAATGCCTTTTAAAACTTTTTAACTGTCAAATAATAATTGCATTGATTTAGGGGATACATGGTGATGTTTTGATACATATTTATTTACATTGTGGAATTATTTAATCAATCTATTTAAATTTAGTGAAAAAAGCTGAAACTATTAATCTCAGCCTTGGTGGCTTCTCTTAATTTATGCTTACACAGGAGGCCCTATTCATTATGAAATGTCACAGACTCACAAACAAGAGAAGAAAATGTGAAGAAACCCCTCAAACAAAATGAACTAGGTTAATTAATACTGACAAATGTGACTCGCTTAAAATTGTTCCTAATATCAGTTCATTATTTACTTCAAAAGTTCTAAATATTTGAAAATGTACAATAATTTAAAGTATTTCTATTTATATAGTAAATAAACCATGCTATTAAAATAAAGGAATCAGGTTCATTTCAGAAAAGTGAAAAACAGCAAGATCTTACTGTAAATCAACTGTTTTCAATTGTTTGGCATAAGGTCTTACATATTCTTTTTTTTTTTTTCTTGGAGCCATTCTTTATTTATATCAATAAAGTTGTGTATTTTTCTTTTATAGGTCTTATACATTTCTAGTTAAGTTTGTTTCTCAACATTTTTATGTTTTTTTTTTTTGAATTTTTTATTGGATTTTAGGTTTTGGGGTACATGAGCAGAGCATGTAAGACAGTTGTGTAGGAACACACATGGCAGTGTGCTTTTCTTTCCTTCTCCCCTTCACCCACATTTGGCATCTCTCCCCAGGCTATCCCTCCCCACCTCCCCCTCCCACTGGCCCTCCCCTTTTCCCCCCAATAGACCCCAGTGTTTAGTACTCCCCTTTCTGTGTCCATGTGTTCTCATTTCTCATCACCCACCTATGAGTGAGAATATGCGGTGTTTCATTTTCTGTTCTTGTGTCAGTTTGCTGAGGATGACGTTCTCCAGATTCATCCATGTCCCTACAAACGACACGAACTCATCATTTCTGATTGCTGCATAATATTCCATGGTGTATATGTGCCACATTTTTCCAATCCAGTCTGTTATCAATGGGCATTTGGGTTGATTCCAGGTCTTTGCTATTGTAAACAGTGCTGCAATGAACATTCGTGTACATGTGTCCGTATAGTAGAACGATTTATAGTCTTTTGGATATATACCCAGTAATGGGATTGCTGGGTCAAATGGAATTTCTATTTCTAAGGCCTTGAGGAATCGCTACTTGATCATGGGGAATAAGTTTTTTGATTTGCTGTTGCATTCGGCTTGCCAATATTTTATTGAAGATTTTTGCATCTATGTTCATCATGGATATTGGCCTGAAGTTTTCTTTTCTTGTTGGGTCTCAGGTCTTACATATTCTTAATGCACGTGTTAATTCGCTTAGATACCCTGTTACAAGAGTTCTGAAACATTGAGTGAAAAAGTGTTCTTATAGCACTTTGGCAATGGGAGCCTCACCTCACTCTGTTATGTGATATCCCATCTAGGTTTTAGTTAAACCTGGAAACATCTTTGTCGTTAGGTGAAGCAGCAAGTCTTGCTTAAGCAAAGCTGGTGAGGTCAGAGCCTGGTCCAAGGTTCCAATGTGTTTGTGGGGAAAAGCAAACACTTTTTGTGGGAAAAGGAAACAAAGGAGAAGAGAGGAGGAAAAGGAAATTGGAAAAGAAGGGGAAAAAAGAGGAAAAGAAAAAGAAATGTTGAGAGAAAGAAAAACAGACAGCTGTGTGTGATTGGGAAGGACAGGATACCATGGCTCCCCAGTCTTAGTGCTAATGCCGATGTTAGCTAACTCTATTTAGGGAACTTTCCAAAATACAGAGAAGCTTTGTGGGCCTGGCTTTCAGATCTTATGCAATAATTGTTTTGGGAGCAATCTGAAAATTTCACAAGAGAACTGAGTTCTCCAGAGACTGACAGTGTGACCAAAAGATCAAAGATTTGGTGCAGTGGGACTAAACTTCAGGAAGCCTTCCAAATTGTGAAGATTTTCCTCCCTGTCATGGCAGTTAAGACATGTGAAAATCATAGTTTGAGACACCTATAAGCAGCTTTCTTCTTAGTTCACAATGTTCCATGAATGTCAGTGCCCTCCAAACCCATGAGAACAAAGTAGCCAACCAAGTTGAGTGCTCTCAAATCATTGATTAAAAGGAGAGAGAAGTACAGAGATACACAGTAATTTGTGTGGGTTGTCAAAAAATTGCACCATCAGTTTGACAACTGTTATTGCCTTCAGGTTGATGAATTGCAAAAGGAGCATTGCTGTGTGTGGGTGGGGAGGGAGGAGGAATTGCATGAGTAAGAATGAGATGAGCAATAGTTAGGTGGGGTGGGAATGAAATCTTCACAGTTATTGGAGATTCTGATATATTTATCACCAAAAGATGATCTAAAAGCCGTACAATTAAGACTTACATTAGGGCAGTCTGTGATAAGCTAAGGTTAATATAGTGTGTTGTTTTTGAAAACACAACATAATTAATAGCAACTCTGTTTTTATACTTGCTTGGTTAACAGGAGGAAACACAGATAAATCAAATACTGGTTAGCAATCTTTAATAACCAGGAGATGCTTAATATTTATTTAGAAATTCCCAATATTTTATAAATCATTGTCTTGGTTGCTGGGACAAACTCAGAATATGGAACCCACAGAAACCTTTCAATTATACCAAGGCTTTCCAGTTCATTGGTACTGCGCTTTAGAACTGTCTTCACAACTATACTTGGAACTTATTAGGTCAGGAAGGCAAGGCATTGATATGTGTTTTTATTATAGTTAATATCTAGATTTAAAAGGCATTAAATATCTTCTGATTTCTTCCTTTTTCTTCAACTGTACAAGAATGTTTTGATTTGATATTGCAACTGAAGACATTCACTCTGCATTCATCACCTATGGAGTGATCAACTTTCAACCCTTTGAAGTTTCCTAAATTAAGCCTTCTCCTTAAATATCCTTAAAGCAGAATTTTTTAAGCCTGTAAAGATCCATGAGCCCAAGAATCCCTGCATTAAGTGATTTTGGCTTCAGTCATCCAGTTTCACTCTTCCCATTGTTCAGTTATCCACATAACAGTTAACCAGATTCTGGTTTTCTCTCATCCCTTGTGGCTAAAGTAATGTTTACCCAAATTGATAAAAATGAAAATTCAAATTATTTATGCAGAAATTCATTGTGTTACTACATATCTCCTTTCCAGCACAATTTTAGAAGCTTAACCATGATATGCAAAGTGCATTCTGAGGATGACTAACCAGTCATAGTTGAAGGGTTTGGATAAGAAAATAGCAGAACAGGACAGGGCCAGGTGATAGTCCTCATCTACATTTTACTCCAAGGAGTACCGGCACTTTTATCAACTCCCACTGCAGTTAAATTAAGATGCTTTTTCCAGAAGTAAGCATTCAGACATTGTAAATTTACAGGGGAGGCTTCCAAAAGTGACATGTGTTTCTCCTGGATTATTCCACTCAGAATTCTAATTAGGAACAACAATGATTAACCCCAGAACACAGTTTCTGGGGAAATCTTCTGTTATTCTGACTAATTTCGTGAACTTAGAGAAAACGGGAGAAGCTTGTAACTCATTATGGCAAAATTATGCAAAGTGAAACCTCTGACAAGCTATATCTATAAAAAGATATGAGACTGCCTTTTTTTCCCTTTTCTGTAAGGAAGGAGGCACTCTGAACTCAAAGGTTGTTTGAATGAACTGACTGTTTCAGCACTGCCTTGTAGATGCAGTCTATTCAAATAAAAGAGAATAAATATCTGACCGAGTTTTGTCAGCACATTAAGACATTTATTATAAAAGAACTTAAGAGAAAACAATGGCCACAATTCTTCAGAAAACATGCGTACAAATGTGACAAAACACTGTGGTGTTGTAAACTCAAGATAAAATGGAGTGAATGAGAAAACAAATTTCCCCAAAGTTAAGTTGTATCACAATGTTTATTTATCTTGAATTCACCCATCTTTATCCCATTTCCACCAGTGTGCTCTGGTCAAGTCACCTCGCTGAAATCTGCACTTCCTCTTGTGTACCCTGCCAAGCCACTCTACACAGCTGCCAGACTGATTAAAAAAAAAACACGGCATTATGCTACCTCTGCTTATCTAAAATTTGTCAAAATGCCCATTGCATTTTGAATGAAATGCAGATTCCTCTCAGATCTCATTTCTTATCAAGTCTTTCTCAATCATTATGTTCCAGCATCACTGATCTTTCTGTTCCTGTAAAATATTCTTGCCTCAGGGCTGTAGACCTATGACTGCAGTTCTCTTTTTCCCACATGTGACCAGGCTGCCTTCCAGCCATCAGGGCTCATATAAGCTCTTTCTTTTCTTTCTAAATATCTATCAAAATCAGCCTGTGTATTGTTTATTTATCACATAATCTTGTTTTATTTTCGTTATAGCACTCTACTTTCTGAAATTATCTTTGTTTATATGTTTAATGCCTTTCTTCTCCACTAGAATGGAAACTCAAAGATCAAGAAACTTTTCTATCCTTTTCACTGTTGAATTGCCAGAATTTTAAACAGTGCTTAGCATACAGTAAGGGCTCAATAAATAAATAAATAAATAAATAAATAAATAAATAAATAAATGTTCAGCTCTCTTGGCTGTCTCTCCAGTTTTCAAGAATATTTTGATGTCTCTCAAAAGAACTATATGCTTATAGTAGTCTCTGGAGTTCTTGGGTTTGAGTTGTGGAATTGCTCTACAGGTGAAGCAAAATTATAATGAAAACCTTCGTTTTTAAACCCTTTGGGTAGTCTCACAGAACCTCATTTTACAGACAAGTAGGGTCAGGGATTTGGGAAATGGAAAATTAAATTAGTATTTCTGAATGCTTATTATGTTTTAGACACTGTGATAGGGATTTGATACATGTAAAGGCAATGTGCAGTCTTCTCAAGTGAATTCCGTATGACTTAGACTGTTTAGAAGGATGGGCTTGCAATCAAGACTGTATGAAATCAGGGATAGCTAGATAGAATTAGGGATAGCAAAGGGGCAGATGGTAAAATTATGGGCAGTATGATATTGCAGAAAAAGTGTGAGCTTCAAATCAAGTCTGAGCTCAAATCCCAATCTGACACTTACTAGTTGTGTGACCTTGCGTAAGGTACTTACAACTTTAATGTGACTCATGTTTCTTATTTATATGGAATAGAGAACAAACAGCATTTACAAATGATTAATTCACAGTGTTGTAAAGATTTAATGACATAATATTTCAATATGTAAAGTAACTAGGCTTATTGCCTTCCACATAATAGATGCTTAATAAGTGGCAAGTTATTATGACATACATTATTAGTTACCTACACAATAGCTATAATTCCTTTTTTTCTTGACAATGAAGCCCTAATTTTGTTCAGAGTAGTAATGTCTAGTCCAAATGATGGGTCATGTTTGATGTAAGACAATCATAAGCAACCTGTTTCCCACTTTCCCAGCTTCCTTTCCAACTATAGGGGGTCATGTGATCCAATTCTGGATGACAAAACTAATGGGAAATTCAGTTTGTGTGTGTATGTGTGTGTGTATGTGCGTGTGCGCATGTGCACATGTGCATGTGTGTGCATGCATGTAAGTGAGGGGAGAGGAGCTTCTGGAGAAGTTTTTCTTTTCTTAAAAAGCAAAATATTTTAATAATAAAATTTAGCACTTGAGCTATGTTTATTTTTGAATGGTTTTTAAATGAATATTTTTATTTTTATTTTGGGACTAGGTTTCCCTCTGTTGCCCATCTGCAGTGCAGAGGCACGATCATGGTTTACTGCAACCTCCACATTCCTGGCTCAAGTGATGTTCCTACCTCAGCCTCCCAAGTAGCTAGGACAATAAGCATGCACCCCCATGCCTGGCTAATTTTTCCATTTTTTGTTGAGATGGGTTCTCACTATGTTGCCCAGGCTGGTTTTGAATTCCTGGGCTCAA